TGCCCGCTGTCAGCCTGAAATGAAGACCAAAGCTGACTACAAACTTCGGCTCGTTGCTCAGTGTGACTCAGGATCTGCCACCAGTGTTGTTGGTGCTCAGTGCACTTGTCCTGCTGGCAAGGGTGTTACTGCCAGTTGCAAGCATATAGCTGCACTGATGTATGGCTTGTCCGAGTTCACTCTGCTTGGGTTTAGTGACTCTCCGACGTGCACGGACATGCTGCAAAAGTGGAACCAGCCTCCTGCAGGTGCAGGTAAAAAGAGTGAGCCCATGCTGGTTCAAGACATGGAGTGGCGTAGAGGTGGCAGTACCACTGACAAATCTGCGCCAAAGAAACGTAAGCATTCTGCTGCAGAAGTACTTGACCCTCGTGCTGTTGCAAAGCGGATGGACTTTGCCCGGCGTGTGGAGGAATACGCCAACTCAACCATTCACTCCAACTCCATCCACCTAGCATTGCCTCTTGTTGCTGGTAGCTCAGGATTTGCTGCTAAGCAGAAGGAGGACAGGTTGCACAGAGCCCAAGCGCAGAAAAAGGAGAGACTGGCTAGGGCAGGGGAACAGAAGGACAAGTGGCAGGTTGAGCACAGCAGATCAGGTGATGTGACACCTGTGCCATCTGACTGCGAGTGGCTAACTGAGGACAAGCAGATGCTGTGGTACGAGTCCAATGTCATACTTACTTGTGAAGAAGCCAATGCCCTGCAAGAAGCCACTGCATCCCAAACAACAAGTGAACTCTGGAGGAATGAACGAAAGAAGCGTATTACAGCTTCCATTGCCCATACTGTAGCTCATCGACGACCTCAGACTGACCCGTCATCCCTCATAAAAACTATCATTGATCGGCCGGCGTTCACCACTCCTGCAACCAGATGGGGGATTGATCATGAAGAAGAGGCACGATGTGCCTACGTAGCCCACCAAGCCAAGTCTGGCAAGCTGATAGATGTTGTTGCATGTGGCTTATTTGTGCATGCTGATGAATGCTGGTTTGGTGCCAGTCCCGATGGCATTGTTAGGGATGGTGATACATCACTTTTGCTCGAGATTAAATGCCCGTTTGTTGCTAGAGACCAAAGTCTAGCAGAGGTAGCTGGGTCTACTGCATCATTTTGTTTGTCCAACAAGGATGGTGTGCTTTCTCTCAAAACAACACATGCCTACTATACACAAGTGCAAATGCAGCTCTTTGCTGCAGGCCTTCAATTTTGTGACTTTGTAGTGTGGTCTCCCTGCAATGATCTTTTTGTTGAGCGCATTTCATTTTGTGAAGTGCATGTCAAGAAAACTCTCGCAGCTTGCAGAACATTTTATTTTGATCATGTTCTCCCGAAACTGGCTCTGTGATCAAGTTTCTTGGTAATAGATATATTCCTCGTCATCTGAGATGACCATTGCTCACTTTGCTCCAGTTCCTGTAGTCTTGACTGTTTACATTCTTCCCTGATTTGTGGCAATCTTTTCTTCTGTAAGTGCGTCTGAACTGTTCTATACGCTGCACTCTATGTTCTTTATTATAGCTTTTTCTGTTCTGCCCTGTTCTGTAGCTCCTTCTTGATATAAACGCCGTGATTAGATGGTGGATAGTTCCATCAGCTACCGGCTTCCTGCATTTGTACATGATTAGGTAGTGTTGTATACATGTACCCAAGACGGTGGAACTCTGCTGTAAACAGTGCGTTATAGTAAATTATACTGCCATTACTGGTAACCACTACAAAAAACGGCACGTACAACTGGTTTACAATAGCTCGCCATTCCGTGTTACAACGGAGTTCAAAAAGGCATGAACGTTACATGAGTATTCGTATTTACTTCAAAGTAAGCGGCACTTGCAGCAGTCACAGGCCACATTTCCTACCTGGTGAACAGCACAAACAGACAAATAGGAGCATCACTACTTCTACTTCGAAGTACGAAGTCCTGAGTGAAATAAGCATCATTGTGTAGGGGCACCATTACTCACAACATAACACAAAGAAAAGAGGGGAAGAAAATACCGAGGCCACGTAGGAATATCGGCATGCGCAAAAAGCTTTCAACAGAGCGGCCTGGTCATAAAGCAAGAATTACATAGACGCCCATCTTCATCATCATTCTGACACATATGGTGGTAGCGTGAGTTACAAGACCTACAAACTCTAAGAAGTGGGCCATCTGAGCGCTTGCAAAACAAACATACGGGAGTGGTCACATAGGCAGCAGCGGCTACAGAAGAAGATGGCACGCTGATAGCAGCAGCAGTAGCAGCTACAGGAGATGGCACGTTCGTAGCAGCAGAAGTAGCAGCTACAGCAGATGACAACTTGGTAGCAGCGGAAGCAGCAGCAGAAGCAGTAATGGCAGGTGAAAGAAATGTGCCAGCTGAAACAGCCACTGCAGAAATGTTTGCATCTGGTGATATCTGGGCAACTTCTGCAGCAGAGGAAAAGTGTGCAGACTGTGTCGATGGCTTACTAACAGGCGGAGGTACCAGGGGCTCCATGTAGTTAGTGAGGAATGCACACACAAATATGATCTGCTCAGCCAAAGGGCACAACACGGAAGATAAGAAGTGAGTTATCCTGAAGTTCTTGATCCTTTCCATTGCTCTCTCCACATGAATACGCACGCTAGCAATACGCCGAGTTTCGATCACCTCTTCTTCATCAAGCTGATCTCGAGAACCAAGAAACGGGGGTATGTTGAGATCGACACCCTCCGGTAGCAGATCGGCAATGTCGAAACCACGGTCGGCCATGATGGCATCACCCTTCTCCATCAACTTCATTAGCCCACTTCGCTTTGTCAGTTTCTTATCAGAAATGCGCCCGCCATAAAGAGGAGACAGAAACGATATTGCACCGGTAGGTGTCACACCAACTAACAGTTTGAAAGTGTTCCTGTTTTTGTAATTCGACCAGGTGGCTGCTTGTACAGTTGGGTTGGCTGGCTTCTCAATGGGAAACTCTGTTGCGTCAATAATTACCCGGGTGCGTGGGTACTTGTCTTTGAAGACGTCGGGCATGTAGCGATCAATCAGAGCCCGGCTCGGCCAAATGTCCACTTCTTTCATAGAGAAGTACATGCAACGAATGTACGTTGAAAATATTCGGGACACCGTGGATTGATCTATTCCGAATCGCAGTGCTAAATCTGACTCAGGGAAAGCATGCCGAAGTTTGACAAGGGTCAATAGCAACTCGTCTTCATACACCAATGCTCTTCGTCTGCCACGGCTGTCCTGGCCAAGGAAATCAGCTGGCACTTTAGTAGCAAAGCACATGTCTTGACATCCACACCGCAACTGATCCAGCAACAAGTCAAACGCCAGAGAACTCAGGCCCGTGTAAAACAGTACAATCTTGTTGTCATGTCGGATGTTCGAGTAATGGAGTTGGCATTTCCGCAAAGCTTCTTCCGATTCATCCAAATTGTACAAGGCCTGCTCCAACTGGGACCGCAACTTAGCCACTTGTGCTTCCAAAGTCTTTATTTTGTTCTCTTGGAGAACGGGAACTTCACCATAATCATGGTCAGCTAAAAGTGTTGCAGCCTCAGGCACCGATTCATCTGTGACTGGTAAATCAACATCGTCATCAATATCAATCGCTTCAACGGGTCGACTGACTTCGCCTGTCGAAACACGGCTCTTCCTCTTCACTACGACGGCTTTGTCCAAGAAACGGGAAGGTGGCTCGTCCTCCGTCACAGGTCGACCACCAGGAAAGTGCACCCCACAGACATACGAGTTTCCAGAAAGAGGAGTGTTGACTCTTGGTATTTTGGCAAGCCACTCGGCCCTGATATGCCGGCGTCGATCCGAATCTTTAGGCAAACGATGAAAAGATACAGCTTTACAGACCTCTGCTGTTCCTCCGCAGCCAACACGAGCCAGATCTGATCCACATAGACGACGCTTCACAAACACTTTTCGTCCTTGCGAGTTCGCATCATCAGTTTCAAACAAACCAAACTTGCAGCTGCTTTTACGATTTGAGCAGCCAGGGACGATACAATGAGCGTTGCTTGGCATGATTGTGTCAGCTGCTTACTGATCTCTAACTAACTTGCTACTTATACACAACAGCAAACTGTGACAACCCTTGCCTTCCAAGAAGGAAATAAATGTCTTGCTTTGAGTTTGATTCTTCACCAACACAAAGGAAAAAAATTTGTACATTGTACTTCAGCCTCAGCAAACGCGAAGCAGGTACGTAGGGCTCTACGATCATCAGAGTTTCCACGCGTGCATGCATGAGACTGCATGCTGCGCTGCGTGGTGCAAGTACAGTGTCGAGGTTGTGAAGTTGCCCCGCACAAAAAACCGCGGGAAAATTATGCATAGGTGCCATTGTAGGGCTGCAGACGGGTACCAAATAGCTGTCGCGCGTCATGTGGTTGCAAGTCACGTGACTCCGTACCCACCAAGCAGGTACTTGGCAGAGTGCCTGCACTTTGATACGAGCTAGCTCCGTTTGCTTGTTGATGGAGGTGCTGCGATCGGATATGCTGATGTGATATTTCTCTGCGATACATTAGTTGCAACGCTTGGTGACATTGATGTAAGCCCGTGCACGTTCCTTGTTCTGGCGTGTTAGGTTCCAGACATACTTTGCCAGCTCCGTACTTGCTTCATACCGCTCGTGGCGCAGCGACTGCATTTTTTGAGCGACTCTGCTTCCGCATTGAGCACTCTATCGAACTGGAGGACTCCGCTCTCTCAGTCTCTGTGACATGACAATCATCAGAATGATCATGTACTGATGTAGATCTAGACAACGGCGCTGCACTGCACTGCAGACAGAGCTAGCTAGAGAGTAGAGTCAAGTGCACAGACTCAGTACACTAGCCTAGGCTAGTACTCGTAGGGTTGCTCGTGCACTGACCCTAGCCTAGGCAATGTCTGTACACTGCATGCTTGAAAAGCCCCCGGCAATCGCGGAACACGACATCGCTGGCCTTGCACAGCAACTACGAAAAACCCCAGTCTCTACGTGCACAGCCACAGGACACGAACAAGCGTGTACCTAGTGTACAGATGTGAGTGTGTAGTGTGAAAAGCTTGACTGTGCACACCAGGGGATAGCACCGATGACTAGTCGACTGGGCAGTAGGTCTAGGTACTGGCACTACTGCTAGTAGTAGGTGTCCTCATTCTCAGCATTCTGTGCGCATAATAATACATGACAGTCAGTGTGGACATGAACTTGTACCTACATACAGATTATCTCTTTTCTCTTGGTGAAAATCAAGCAAGTGTTTGATTTCAAAGCGCTAAGGCCTGAGGCCGACTTCGAGCGCTTCATTCAGCACAAAAACCATCTGCCAATTCTAGTGTTAGCGACTGACGGTCAAAGCTTTCAGCGGCTAGCGGGTCGGTTGGAAGCAGTCGTTACAGCCCCACGCTGCGCTTGCACACCGGGTGGGGCCAGTGCCGTTTGTAGATGGACGGGCTTGAGTTGGCAATTGGTGACGCATTCTCATCCCCTGCTACATTGTGGAGCGCAGAAGCTGCTACAAGGTAAGACAGAACAACGCGGAGTCTTTGTCAGATACATGTACGTTTAGGTTGTAGGCAGTATAGTAGGCTGCGAGGACATCGTGTGATCAGCATGGATATAAGAGGGGCGTAGGAAGCAGATTTCCGATGGTCAGGCGGATTTTTAGCTCGTATAGGTCGCGATTTTTAAAATTTTTACTTCGCCCAGTATGACTACTACTAGTACTACAGTCAGTTGTACAGACGGCTCTAGTTTTGGTATCATGTACACGTGTAGTATTGGCTGGTCAGCATCTGTGTCATGCGGGAACTTGTGGCCTGAGTCCATTTTTAGTATTTCTGGCTTCACTGCTTGTACTGTGGATAGGGCTTGAAAGTGATGACGTCAAAAACGGCCTGGGAGTAGTAAATTGACATCAGATTTCTATTTTGGATCCACTAAGGTGTGACTTTGCTATTGCCTCAGTATGTGTAGGCACTTCAGTCACGTGACAGGACCTGTCAAAATTTGCTGAGGTGAGAGTCCGTACTTGCGTGGCACCAGTCAAGTGCATGCGCTAAACTGCCAAGTCCCGAAACATATTGCCAAGTACAACTGGTTTGTTACCACTAGACCAACACGCAATGCCTTATCACTGCCCCGAGCTAGTTCCTCTCTGTTTTTGAAATCCCCTTTCTTCTCAGCATACTCCCTTTGGTCTAACCTGCCTACTAGCATTAAGACATGCCAGGATATCAGGAAATTCACAGTCCAGCTTTCCACACTGTCTCATCCGAAGTGATCCCATGTATTATTAATGTGCCTCCCTTTCTTTTTCTCTCCCTATCTCCTTTCCCTCTCTGACAGCATCTTTCTTTTTTTCCCTTTTAGCTTGCCGTGGTTGGCTATCACCTGACCTCTCATGTTTATTGGCAGTCTTCGGACGGGCCAGGAGATGTTGAATAAATAAATAAATAAACTGTACAGGTACGCGCTATGCTTCGTTGTACGGGCTGATAGTTGGGCGCATCGTGTTGCTCTGACGTTCAGCTTTCAGTAGATCCCGCATACGTCATAGTGCGTACATTTTTGCGAGTTGTAGATCACGTACACTACCAGCAAAGAGTTTTTTTCACAAAGAACTGTTGTTTGCTCGCGTTTGAAACGTTGCTTATCGTCTTCAGCGTCGTCTTTCCATTCGGAAACAGTAGAGTTCTTGTTTACCAGGGTTTGCGCATCGCTGCGCAAGGAGACATTATGTACGTAGGCACTGAGAAGTATGCGCTTTAGGCGGAGGAGAACGACGATGCGTCGTCCTACCTGGGCGAATTCTCAAAGCGTACTGAAAGCCAAGTTTTGACACGGTCGCGCTGGAAGGCCTACTGATGTTTACGAACAATCAAAAGGCACAGTGGCTGCTGGAGAAACCCTCTGATGAGGGGATGCTTTGATATACGCATCCAGGCACGCTTCACCAAAATTTCAAAGCTCACCAGCAGGCAATTCATGACTGCTGCATGGAGCAGTTGAAGGATAGGGAGGCAGATATCACACCATGGAAAGAAGCTACCAACAGAGGTCCTGAAGAACTTCTTGCCAACTTGGAATCACTTGAAGTGGCATGACTGTGAGCACGAATATCCTGTGCAGTAATTCGCGAGCGCGGGCGCGCGCGTACATACCCTCCACATTGCGGCGTACAACGAGGAAGTTCTCTGTTGTTTTTGTGCCAGAAGAATGTCTTTATAACTCTTACGCTTTTGTACCCGCCGGAGCCTGCCAGTATGTCGTTATCATTTCATTTCACAGCAAACTGAAGCTGTTACTATGGGTTACTATGGCGTTGCTATGGGTTGCTATGGAGTTGCTATAGTGATTGCGGTCACAATTGCCGTATTCTTGCCTATTCTGAACTTTGATCTGTATTGTTTCGATCCATACAGGGTTGTCGGTGTAAGTGAGTGATGTGTGCTTGAAAAAAACACTCTGATGTTTTGTGACTATATCCACTGATGATACTTCGGAGATGCTGTTGGTGCCACAAATTGTATTGATCTCGCCTCATCCAACTGCCTATCTTCAACCCTTCATATCTGAGTGGTATCACTGTGGATTTCAATAAAATTTTCTGTGTGACCTTGTGATACCCACCACCATCGATTGCCGATGATAAACCTGGAAAAAACGCGATTTCAAAAAATGGGGTGAAGTGCCTAGTATGTGGGTGCATAGCAACCCACTCATGTCGTATGCAGGTGCAACTTTTACTTCGCCACCAGTTGTCACCCCGCCCCCACTAGCCAAATCAGTCAGTTTCACTGGCAACATCACCTTGCTGTGAGTGAGACCGCTTGAAATGTGCTTGGATCCATACAAAAACTGGATCCAGGTGGATCCAGTTTTCGAATTTTTCAAATTGTTGCTATGCCATTGCTTTGGAGTGACGTAGCACTTTCAAGCCCTATTGACTCGTCTGGACTCCTTTTGGTTGGACTCAACCTTTTATGTCTCTGTGTACCGCAGTCGGACTCTCAGTCGTACTCGCGCATCCACATTCACGATCCCGTATTTATCCTCACTGTTGTACATTGCCTGTAGCTTCCTTTTCTGGACTCCTTCTAGTTTGTTTCTTCTTGCCTTTTTGCCTTTGGGGCTTTTCTGGGTCTCTTCTCGGTTCCAAGCGATACAACTTCGGATATATTTGGCCCAGTATCTGCGAAAATGGACCTTAGGGTGATTTTTCACAAGATGACTTTTTTCTGCTGTTGTCATCTATATATAGGTATCTAGTGATCACATGGCAAAGTATTAGACCAAACAAAGCAATATTGATGACCTAGAAGCTTCTCAAACAAGAATAGGTACTAGAAGCTTCTCAAACAAGCATAGGTACATATCAGGAAATACAACAATTTATCACAGTGTTTTCCACATCGGAATACTATGTGTTACAGTGAAATAAATAAAAATAGACAGTGTAATAAATCATCCATCCAGTTTTGTTGTAAAACAACTCTTGCGAGTCTTGGGCAACCTCTGGCATAGAGCATGGATGGCCTTGATCCTCATCACTGCATACCAATGAAAACTGTTTGAACGCCATCCCAAGTCTGCTGAAAATCCAGAGAAGTGCAGAACAGGAGGGAGGGTGGCTACAACTACACCTGGAGTCCCAGTCTGTGCATCCCACAGGGAATACAACACAGGCACAACATTCTAACACCCCACACTTCATCTCATAGTCATACACGATTTAGAGGTAGTCCATCACTGCTGCACCTCTGTGAAATTTGAGCTCTGTGGGAACTGGCTGCATGCGCGTCAGTGCGCCATGATTCCAGCACTGAGCGCAGAGAGTTCGTAGCTCATCAATCAATGTTCAGCTCTTGGCGTCTTGCCCCGTTCAAGGGGTTTGGTGTTCACCACGGAGTCCAGCGTCGGAGCCTGGGAAAATTCAGATCATGTCACTAGCGGCAGCGCTCTTTCGTCCTGACTCGAGTTGATCCAGGACATTTCAGTTCGTCTACCTCTGTTGCCGTCGCCTCACTAGTTTCTCCTCGTTGAGTATTTCTCCTGAGCAGAGCTGTACTAAAATCAGAAGGGCCCTACAAGGATTTTCAGATGTCAGAAAGTACTTTTGCCAGCAGAGAGCTCCTTTGGCGGCGAGCCTAAATCAAGTTGAAATTCTGGTCGCTAAATAGGAATTGCGCGTCGACAAAAACATCTTCTGGAATCTGTCGTTGTTCTCTATCAGACGCGATGATTCCTGCCTAAGAAATCCAATGACTTCTGGCAGAGCCGGACGGCAGCTAGCTGGCCATCGTGAACGAACTCTCCTTCTACTAGGACGATCAAAAGCATTCATTGTTGCGATGAACTAATTTTTTGTTTGAATGTGCAGAGCGCGAAGCAAGAGTTTTGTGCCGTTGCAGAAAATGACTTATTCTGAAAAAAATGATTTTCACCCGACGGTCGATTCTCGCTGATACTGGGCCATTTATAGTTTCTTGTTCTTCTTCATATTCATGCTTATGCTGACCTTTCATACAAACTTCCAGTCAACTATTTACTTGCCCATCATGCTGGCGGCTTATACTGGGCATATAAACCTCATACAAACCCCATAAAAACCCCATATAGTCATACAAACCCCATACAAACCCCATATAGACCGCCACCATAGAAACAGTCAGAAGCTGACTGTCAGTTTGTATGAAGGTCAGCATAAGTATAAGTATAACAAGGGAGCGAGTGTATATCGAGAAATATACACCAGTATAAAAACCGAGGCGAAGCCGAGGTTTTTATATCTGGTCGATATTTCTCATTATCACATGGCACGTGATTGTTGCCCGTACTCCAGCGAATCAGCACCTTTCGCGCCGCGGGCAATAATATGCGATATTGCCCGCAAAAAATTAGTTTATTTGCCCGGAAAAAAAAGTTATTTCAGTGATCGCGTGACTACGGTACGACGACTCTAGACTGTAGACTGTATTATGTACGACTCTACGACGTCGACGAGTCGCAGTGTAGCATTGAGACGAAGATGGAATTCTTTTTGGAGATGGACATCCCGGCAATGGACATGGCCTCGGACGTCTGCCGTGTGGTGCTTGCAGGGATCATTTGTTCAGTCATGTTGGCAGCCTGACCGTCGGTAAGCTTGTGGATAAGATTCAGTTCTGCTCGAAGTGGTACTGTGATCACAAACAATTATTTGAAATAACACAAATTCAACTCAGCGTCGCGCGTTTTCAAATCCTCGCAAAGTCACTGCCTGTGTGTGGTCTTCATGTGCCACGCAAAACTCTTACCAGGCTCATCTGTCCTCTGCCTTCACCTTTGCTTGAACAACAAACACAACAATTCAGGAATGTTTTGCAATGAAAAATACAGCTACATGTATCTGGAGCTGAAAAAAAGAAGAAAAATTGTCCTTAGAATTACACACCAGGGAGTCGTCAAATACTTGCACTTGTTGCAGTACTGTATTTGACAACTTCCTGATACACATGTAAACATGAAGAAACTCTTTGTG